CAAATAATTACCGCAATTTTTAACTTTCGACATTCCTACTACTGCAATGAGGTTATAAAAGATTGGTTTGGGGCCCCCCTCGTTGGTGGAGGCCCCGGGCAATTGCCCCTTTTGCCCATAGGATAACGCGCCACTGGATAGATACGTACTGTCCGACAAACCTAAAGTGAAGCCTCTGACGTCACACAGGGCCTAAAAGTGGGAGATGTAGGGGAACTTGCGACGGCTTCCTGTTAGTAAGCCAATAGAGATAGAATAAGGCTATCGCAGTTACACTTAGGTCTTCCCTTATAGTCAGCAAATAGGGATAGAATAAGGCTATCGCACTTACTCTTCTATGAACAATAGATGACGATTGGGTCTCGTTCGAGCAGTCGATAATTGATCGGAATGATATTTTCAAGCGCTCGAAAACAAATTAAGTTTACGTCGCGCAGACACCATAAACAGGCGAACAGATGCCTGCGCGACGCCAAACGACGTGCATCATGGTAAACTTTATTTTTTTATCCCATGTTCCCAAAATTTCTCTATTATTTCGATAAGCTTATTTTACAGGTTAAAATTCAAGCAATCCAATGGTATTTTTTCAAAATTATTCTATGAGTGGGAACAGTGTCAAATTAGCAATTGAAACTTTAGCAGCGATTATTGCTATGTTTATTGCTATGAAATGAGCCCAAGGTCGAAATGTTATCTTTAAACAAAGCTGAAATATTACGGTTAAAGTGACGACATGTCGTCTGATTTTGTCAAATTTGTCAAAATTTTAACATTAAATAGTGGCTGTTTGATGGCTTTTATTGGCTGTAAAAAGTGGCTGTCGGTCTGTGGTGGCACGCTATTTTTCATTGTACCCAGAAATTTTGTAGCTCCTTAAGCAATTTTTTAATGCGCCGCAATCTACTTTTATTATTCAGGAATAGGAAAAAAATATTTACATTTTAGTTTTCTAACTGTTAAAAAATATTAATACATTTCCCGAGGCTTCTTTTACAATAATAATTTATTGTGTATGAGTCGCTTAGAAATGAACGTCTGCGCTATTAAATATGTCTTACGCGCCAACGTAGGTTCTTTTATCAGCATGTTACATTATCGACAGGTGACTTAAATTCGTTTGTCCAAACCATTTACCTACAACGCAATTTCCCCTCAAGTGCCTGCAGTGTAAGACCCAAGAGTAGTGGGGATGACTTGAACCGCCTATTTTGCCTCCATTTTCCTAGGCTGTGACGTCAGAGGCTTCACTTTAGGTTTGTCGGACAGTATGTATGTATGCAAACGTATGTATTTATCAGATTAGGGGTTAGATTTTCTTTTAAATTTATAGAAACGATAGAAGGGATCACGTTTAAAGTTTCGAATTCTTTGCTAAAGTAACTTCCAGACTGATTCAGTAAGAACTAAACACGTGGAGCATGAAATATCGAATTGTGTAGAAACGACGTAAATCGGGCCCCCACTGTGATAATATTGAAGCGGGGCCAAATTGTACTTACTCAATAGTCGTAAGTCTTCGGAAGCAAACTCTTTTCGTGGATAATTCTAACACTCTAAGTACCTCTGTCCCGCTTTTATATTGACCACAGAGAAATGCGATATTCTCAGCAGTTTCTGCTTTGTCTCCAGTCAACACCCATATCTGACAAAAAGAAAGCATCGAAAGTAAGATTATTCTTTTTCTCAACCTTTTTCAGTTTGACATACATATAGAAATTACGAACTTTTATTCCAGCGACTTGTAAACATTCGAGGGTTTCCTCTACGCCTTCCTGAAGGCGATCCTCGACAGCAGTCACGCCTAATAAAGTCAGACCACTTTCCATCATATTGTACGCTTTTTCCATGTAAATTAATCTCTCAATTCCAATTATTTGCCTGGCTTGTTCTACTCTCTGTACCAGTCGAGTGTACTCCATCTGATCCATCTTTCTGTACCCAACGACCAACGTTCGAAGACCTCGCTAACAATAAAGAGATATCTTTTAGTTGACGTTTGGAGAAGTATAAGAGAATTGAATTTGTGTAGTAGGTTAGTCGACGAACCATGGAAAAATCAGCTACATGCGCGATAGCCTGATTAATTGTCCCGGAGACAATTAATGGCAAGATATTCGAATCCGCCCCTTTGCAATACAGCCAGAAATCTCCAGCCGCGTCTTTCACTACTACAGACATCCTCTTGCGTTCTGTTCGGGAAGAATTGGTGATTTTTATCGTTTATATGTTGGAAATATCGAATCAACGTTTAACCCTTTCGCTGCGGCAGATTTTAGTATGTTACAATGCAAAATCTTTCGTTTATAAATTTTTTAAATTTCTTCCATTAAATTACAGTGAAGAAGTGCGCAAAGGAGAAAAATTAAGGCGTGTCAAAAGGCGCCAATGGAAAAAGGGCAAAATTTCATCAAAATTAACGACTACCATTTCGAGATCTTCCCTTATAAGTACATACATAAATCGGACGAAAGCAAAATAGCCTAATTGTCTCTTCGACGACCCTTAAAAATACGTTCTCGCCATCTCGCTAACATAATTTTGTGAAGTTTCTCTTATCTTCGACTACTAACCAGAAGTGAATTCTAAGACTTCGAGCTTCTCGTAAGCAACGGTGTTCCCTTCGATCTTAAGTTCTATCATGTCGCTGTTACTCTTCCAGAAGATGACTCCGCATCTGGCACTAGCCTCGACCAAAGCCTTCTCGTCTGCAGATGCTGCCTATCGCATAGTGATCAGATTATTTTAAACAATTCAGAAAGAAAAAGGGAACAAAAGAGCAAGACTAAAATTAGCAACAGCTGATCGAAGGAAAACATTGATCCCTTCACTTAGCCACGTGTTAAGTGGAGACCATTCAAGGTGCAAATTTATCACCATCTGTTGTTTGCCTTCATAATACCAGAGATAAAAATAGCTGACGAATCTCGTAAATATAACCACTTTGATGCGAAAGACAAATATTTTCACCTGATACTCGGGTAAATCCGGATGCATCAACAGGGAACTGTTCACCTGCAACACTTTCTTCTCCTTGAAGCTCCTGCGAAATTCTTTTCGCTTCGCTATCACGCTAGGTCTTTGGCTCGGTGGTGAGATTTGAACGGAATGACAGAGAGCCAGGCTTATCATGAAATGCCAAATCTCTGGCTAGAATTTGTTATCAAATTGGAACGTTACTTGAGAATTTCAAAGGATTTTTTCAATTTTCGTTTGGGAATTCAGTTTTTTACCTCCCAATTAGTTAGCATAACAGCGTCATTCTCGTTTCCGCTTGGAGGCAACATGTACAGACGACCGTCGCAATCTTTCTCCATGTAGGTGTGCCCGTTGATGGAGCAACGTCTGAACACCATCAGGTTCTCGGTCAGTGTGCCAGTCTTATCAGCGAACAGATACTCGATTTGCCCGAGCTCCTCGTTCAAGTCGGACGTGTTGGCCAACGCTGGCTGCTCGGTCGCCTCGTCGTACATTTCGATGTCCCAGCTGAAGAAAAACGAACTGAGGAATTTTTGTAATTCTGTAACGAGAACAATTAATCGAAGCTTGTCAACTGGTCCTATTCCAAGTCACGGTCATTTTCCAAGGAGAATCATAGGGAACGAAACGTTTTTAACCCTTTAACGTTATTGTATACCGAAAGTTTCCTGATGTACCTTTCGTCGTATTGAAAATTAACCACTTTCATCACTGTGTCCTTTAATCGTTAAAGGATTAAAGTTGTGGAATTTCGATTTCTTTCTTCTTCTCCTCCAAATTCAATCTTTTCTGATATGTGCAAGCAAAAAGAAGAAGAACAAATGATTTTTACCTATGGTAACGTACAACGATATGGGCACGATGTAATTGTAGAGAACGACGAAGCTGAGGAAATCGTTGACCAGCCATGAGAAAGTGGTCGGATTGTTGGGACCCAAATACGAGCTCCAGGACATCGCATTCTCCATTACTATTTTCATTATACAAGATTCCACCACTTCGCTCAGCAGTAATACGATAAATATGATAATATGCCTATTTATTGACCTGTAGTTAAATGGAGGACATAATTATTTCTGATTCAATGTATATCGATGACGATTTTATTCGAAAGAGTTCTTACTTCTCGGCTGTGGAGAATTTGTTGCATCTGATCTTAGAATTCAGGGACAATTTAGTGTCGTGACCGGTGTAAACTGCACAACCGATTATGTGATCGGTGTCTTTCAGCCTTGATCCACGAAGTAATAAATTTTGGATCGTTAGATGACAAGTGGACACTTCACTGTTGCCGTTATTAAGTTCCAGTTTGCCATGGAAGCTGTAGAGGTCGGATGAGGGGTGCTGGCATGTGACTGTGGCCTCCATTGACACTATCTGCGACGGGGACATCTTCGAAATCACTTTTGGGATCATTATCGTCTAAATAGAGAAAAATTCGACAGCTGAACTTCAAACATTTTTACGAAAGCTCTCGAATTATACAGGGTGTGCCGCGTAAAATAGGCCTTTAATTTAATTATCTTCTCTAGTTGTGACGGTACGAGACAATTTTTCGACGTAATTTAAATGGTTTCAAAGGGTGAGTACGATGGAAGAAAAATTTGTTTGATGGAAGAAATGGCAAAACATGAAAGAAAATTTCACATTTGATTTTAGAGTCTAATGTTGAAACGCACATCAATGTCTGCTGCAACATACAGTAGGAACAAATATATGTACTTTAGTGAAAAAGCATTTAAAAAAAAAAGAAAAAAGTTTTTCTTTTATCTTGTTCACCCTTTGAAAAAATTTCTCGTACCACCATAGCTAAAGAAGATAATTATGTGGCCTGTTTCACGGGGCCCATCCTGTATATTGATTCGATATAAAAATATGAATTACCTTCAAATTGGTTTCACCGTCTAGATTCGACGTGGTTACGTAGCAACGTTCCGAATCCTCGGTAGTGGAAAGTAGCAGGAGGTCGCAAGGGACATCCTGCTCGCGGCTGACTTTCACCAAATCTCCGACAACTATTTGTGAACAATGAATGCTCTAAAAAGGGGTAAAAAAAAAGGAAAAATAATCAAAGGTGATGAATATCTTAGATACGCAAAAAATAAACGATTTTAAAAAGTCATCACGTTAAATTCTGCTGTTTTCGATAGGTTTATCAATAACACTTTTCCGAAGAAATTCGCAAATTTTCAATGTGGACTGTAGATAAGGTTTACGAGATCGATTCGATTACTTCTGTTAGATATGTAAGTAATTCCACTGACCTGTGTACACTTGTTGCGAATAACTGTGACCAGCGCACGATTCACTTTTTGATCCAGTTTGTGACGAAGGTAGTCTTCGTAACCTTGCTTGCAGGCGGTTACAAGTATGACGAAATTCAACGGTAGTATGCTGGTCAGGGGTGAAATCGGGGATTCTATCATCAGTGAAATGATCGTCATTACGAGGAAATAGAAATTCGCTACTCTCCTGAACTGCTCGAAGAGATTCTTTGGTATGAAGTTCCACACTGTGTACTGTAAAACGAATTAAGCAATTAAATATTCCGAAAGTTCCCGCGGTTTTTAAACCGTTCATATTGCAAAAACCGTAACTCTGTGGAAATTAAATAGTTTTATTTGAAATAATTTCCACAATGCTCGATACACTTTTACCAACGTGTTACAAGCGCGTTAATTCCGCGTATATAAAAATTTATCATTTTATTAAATTACAAATTAATGTGCGTCAAAGTTACAGCTTGAGCAAATATTTAAAATTCCTATAGGCGCCAGGGGTGCAGTGCGGGAAAATTTTCAAAATTCCTGTAGACGCCAAGGATGCAGTGCGGAAAAATTTTCAAAGCTGCTATAGGCACCGAAGGCACAGTACAAGAAAATATTGAAAACGCCTATAGGCGCCAAGGGCACAGCGCGAGAAAATATTGAAAACGCCTATAGGCGCCAAGGACACAGCGCGAGAAAATATTCCAACCGTCTATAGGCGCCAACAGCAATGAAAGGGTTAAATAAAAATGTTTAATTTCAGTGGAGTTATGTTTTTGTCAAAATGAACAGCTTAAAACCGCGGGAACTTTCAGGATAACCTAATAATTAATTGTCACAGTATACGTTTAATATTCTTCGAATTTAATTATGTTTGCCTTAATTAACGCTCACTTTTTTCGATACGATGCGGTTATCTGAAAATATTGTTTCCCTCGGGTCATGGTTTGGGCTGATAGTTATAACCCTATGATCAGCGAATACCGATGTCGCGCTACCCTGTGAACAAATAGATCGATCAATGAGAAAAAAGTAAATGAACGAAAACTATTTAGCAGGAATTTGTGAAACTTGCTTGTGTGAAGAGTATTATATGAGCGATGGTGTATTGGGTTCTCAGGAAGCCCGGTACGCGAAACAGTCTCCTCGATTTGAACCATTTTCGTTGGATAAATTGTCGAATCTTCGTAGCGAACGATTCTATGTCCAGTTGCAAGTCTATATGGGGTAGGTTAACTAAATCGTCTATGGGTTGCGTAACAAGAATCTCCAGCTTTGAACGCCTCATTATCGATCTCTATTACGAACATTTCTCTGTGTGTTCCAAGTATCGATAAGAAGTTGGACACTCTCGAAGAAGCTGAGGCCGTGAAAGGCGAGAGAAGTTGCATCTGCACCTGTTTCCATTCACTTGTTTCTTCCCTCCCTTACTGTCCTTACAGACAATCACATTTCTGATGAATCGTAATCACTGAAGAATTTATAAAAAAAAATATCCATATTCTAATATTCTTTCGCCAAATACTGGCAAATAATCCCCCAAAAAATACCTCTTCCATGTAGACAGAAATTCAACCAAAGGGTAAAGTAGGAAATTTCGATTAGAAAAAAGAACGACCAACTTCGTGTAAGAACCTAAGAGGTACGTATCGTCTGAACGCGTTCACAAGCCCAAACCTTCGAAACAGTCAGGTGTCACGATGTCATGATACCACGGCTCAAAACACGTAGAAAACTTGTTCGGTTATAAATTTCGAAATTTCGCGAGTACATAAAGAAAAAGATCTACATTTCGATCGAACGAAATTAGCAAATGGGGACATGTACACGAATCCACAGTGTTACCGTAGCATTCGATTCCTTGTCTCGCATCTACACCATGGATTGAAGTGCTACTATGATAAAACGCGAGTCACTAAACATTATTCCTTGACGAAATTCCATCCGAGAAAGTGTATCACGCGCTTCGTGCACGACGATCAAAAAGGTGGACGCGGTGACGGCAAGTACGACTGTATATTGAACATGAGCAATAGTCAATACCTGGATCACATGTATCATTCGTGGAGGAAAGATCCAAACTCTGTGACCGCTTCGTGGGACTCGTATTTCAAATTAATTCACGCTGATAGTCCTTCAGAACCACCTGTCGCTCCTAAGCCATCGTCAATTCGTGTCGAATCGTTACCCAACGTGGTACCGCATAATTTAGCAAGTCCACAGCCTACAGGTGGATTTCAAGCTTTTCTCCAAAACTTCGAAATCGCTGATTTTTAAATAAAAACCTGTGTATTTTTATCTTCTAATCAGCGCCAGGTTTTCCCCAGCAGAGTGTGAGACAGAAGTCAGATGGCGATATGCAGGGTGAGAAATTCATAAATGGAGCCCTCGATATCAACGCTGCGATTAGGGCTTATCAGGTATCTCTTGTCAATTTAGAGGGCAGATTTCGTATCTGTTTAACCCCTTAACTTATGATTTCTTTTCTGACTGTGCATCTAAGCGTCGGCCATTTACTTGTTTTACTACTGTATCGGGTAACAGAAGCTAATCTGTTACGGATTAACTACATTTAGTAATCTTCAATCTTACGAATTCAAACGAAAATTAGGATTACAATGAATTTTTCTTATTAATATAACTATTTTTCTCACATCTTCGCCAGAATCTCTGCCACGAGTCTGACACGTTGTCATATGTTAAGGGGTTAATAAATCCTTTTACGTATAGGGGAGGCTGAGGCTAGTTGTCCGAAGGGGTAGGTTAGACTAACTGTTAGTAAGATTGCATTGACGTGTGCTATACCGCGGGAAAATTGATTGTAGAAGCAAGTCACTTCTACAAATGCCATTTATCTGTTTTCGACGCCATGATCGCACGTTGTTTGAGTTTTATCAGCGTTTATCGAAAAATTGGCTACCTAAGTAAATATGTTTTCTTCAAAATTTTGTAGAATATATGTTGAAAGAATATTTTGAAGTTTGTTTGTTAGATTACCTGTTGAAACAGTTTTTTTAAATACATAAATAATTTAGGGTTCTGCAGAGTATTGAAGTCAAAATGATCGTTCGGAGCTGATTGGGGATTACACGACTAGCTGGTTAACTAATTCTTCATTATAATTTATCAGTTTATACTAACTTTTCGTTAGTGAAGGTTAGTTAATAACTTATTTATAAATTTAGGTAACATATGAACTACAGGTATATGTCTATATTTATGTTTCTATAATTCTCCAAGTTTTTGTTGCTACTGTAAAGGTTAAAATTGTTATTTTGATGTTAGAAAAGTGATTTTCATGTTTCGTTTGAAATTGATTAACCTACAAATACATCATAATTTGTGTTTAATTTGTTGAAAAGAAATTTTTAGTTTATTATTGAAATATGAGAGAAAGATAAGTAATATTTTATAATAAAACAACTTTGTTGACATTACGTTACTTTATTACCACTAAGATAAGTTACAAATAACATTTTCTTAACCGACTGTACCTATAGTCAACCTACCCCATGCTGTAAGTCTTCCTACCCCGGCCATGGGGCTGGTTGACCAGCTTACAAGGCGTTAGAAAAAACGTTAAAATACCTTAATTGTTCTAAGATTAAGTGAATTTTAATAATACCAAATACAATAACCGTTATAATGATATTCCGCCCACGTAATTTATTAAAAATCGAAAACTGAAAAACTGGCCTACCAGCCCCGGTTTCCCCTACAGTAAAAGCCCGTATAACGCGATAATAAAAAAAGAATTCTGAAGCTGAAGATAATTCAACCGACAGAAATTGTACCAGTACCCAAAAAACGATATCGTTGGAACTTGATTTTAAGCGTTTCTGAGAGTGGTTTTAGTTTCATTTGCCTTTATCTTTACTTCAAGTTATTCTGTACTTATAATAAAGAAAATTTTACTTTTTTATTGTTTTAAAATAAAATAAAATACAGATAATTTTCTGTTACATGTATATAAAAACAAATCTTTTTATTTAATTCTAACTTTTTGCACTCTGAATCATGAAATTGGAACGTGAAATTCATAAAACGCGGGTCATATCTCTCACATTACAGAGGGTCCTACTGTATTTAGTTTATCTTTATTACGGTTAATCTCGTAACACCTATAATTAGATTTAACAAGTTATTCTTAAAACAAATCCTAAGTATTAATTTATTTTTATTGACTGAAGGCACGCGGTCATCTGATAGCCGATATCGATCCGCTAGGCATTCAGAATCCAGAATCACGCAAGCTTCAAGGCACTCCGAATTTACCACCAGCGATCGTTGTACGGGGACACTTGAAAGGGATGACGGAGGCAGACATGAACAGAGAGTTTCCTCTTGCACCGTTCACAGTGATCGGTGGACCCAAACGAAATCTTCCTTTGCGCGACATTCTGATCCGATTGAATGAAGTTTACTGCGGTCATTTAGGCCTCGAGTACACCTACATTACCGATCTAATTACTGTAAGTGGTGTTCATTCGGAGAATCCTTAATTACACCCATCCCTCCATTTACGCGGTCAGATCAGTTATTGACAAATTCATCTAAAAATATAAACAATAATAATGCAAATGAAGTAAGACTTGCAAATATTGCAAGCGATGAAGATAGTGACTTTGAGCCAATAAAGAAGAGAAGGTCGATTGCTTTGAATTACAGTACAGATTCTGACACCGAATAAAACTTATTTTGGTTTTCTGAAATATCATTATGTTTTTTATTAACCTATGCGATTTAAATGTTTTTATAATTTATACCTGTTTTTCTTACCATGTTTTTTTTTTCCATACAAGCAGACTCTATTTACGCGATTTTTATCCGCGTAGAAAAAATCAACGCGGAACTGTCAATCCGCGTAAATGGAGGGATGAGTGTACTCGATACGACGTTGTTATTAGACTGGTAGAAAAATTATGAAGAACATTTCGAAGCGTCTGGAACGATTTCGAGTAGGTACATACATATATACAAGCTTATGAAATCTTTTCCAGTTAGATTGGCTGAGAGATAAGTTTGAAGTACCTGGTGCTTGGACGCTACCGGCAGATCACAGGAAGTTCGTTTGGTTAAATATTATGAGAGGGGTGACGTTCGAGGGTTTTCTCGCGAGGAAGTTCCCCACTGAAAAGAGGTTTGGACTAGAGGGATGCGAATCTTTCATACCGTCCATGGTGGAGTGCTTAGAAACATCCGCTGAACATGGTAGAATGATTATTCTGACTCATTCTAAATGTGTAGTTAGGGGGTGCACCAATCTGAGGCATTTAAGAATAGATTAAAGTTTGGGAATTTTTTTTATAGGTAACTACTAAATGAAAAGTTTCAATTTTTTTTCACAGGATGTAAATGTAACTTTCAACTTTTTTCTCCAATTTTGGAAAAGTAATAATGTTACAAAATGGAGGAGTTATTGCGAAACATCTTCTACTAGAACGTCAATTGTTGGTCATCATCTCTGGGAAGGATTGGGTGTTTGAAATTTTTGATTTGTGAATAAAAATGTATTACCTACAATGTAGCCTACGATTTTTTCGATATGTCAATTATTCAATTTTTCAGAAATGTTTAAAGTTGATTCATTTTGGTAAAAAGAGGTTTTTTCTCTTCAAACTGCCACCGCTTTTTATAATAATTGCAATTTGTTAAAAATTGTAAACTACATTGTAGATAATGCATTTTTATTTATAAATCAGAAAAAATTTTTTATTTCAGACGTTCCAATTTTTACTAGCAATCGATGTTCTAGCAGAAAAGGTTTCGCCACAACTCCTCCATTTTGTAAAATTTCTACTTGTCACAAATGGGAGAAATAAGTTGAAAGTTACATTTAGATCCTGTGAAAAAAATTGAAACTTTTCATTTAGTGGTTAGCTACGAAAAAGATTCCTAAAATGTACTTATTTGTAGACGCCTCGGTGTGGTGTACTCCCTTGAAAAACAAAAAGCTAAAATAAATACGCCAAAATGATGTTATAGGAGTAGAAACAGCT